ATTTTCAATAAGCAATCCTGAAAAATATTTGGGGGTGCTTAAATTTTTTCCAGGTGTATATTTTAGATTACTAATAAGTACGAATTTGTTAAAATCTGTTTGTGAATTCAAACCCTATATATAATATCTGTCTCAATATTCGAATAATTATGAAATGAATTAAAAATTATGTAACATTTTAATTATAGTCGTCTATAAAACGGATAATAACACAAATTTCCAAAATTACAAAGTATCGTTTCGTACTCCAAGTTTATAAAAGAATATTCTTCCCATTAAGAAAGAGAAAATCTTGATTACTTTCCTACATACCTGAACAAGAATGTTCATCAGAACCATCAACACAATGGTTGAATGCATCACAACGAAGTCTGTGCGTCAAACACCGACCGTCCAAACATTGGAACTCTCCAGTAGAATAACATTCTGAAACGTTCAAGAAATATAAGACACAGCATTAAAGACCCAATCAAATCATGTCATTCGAACGAGGTCCAGGAAAGTAACGAGTTAGAGGGAGTTCAAGTAGGAATTAAAAACGTACTTATCCATTAAGCCTAACACTCTATTCAAAAGCAACAAAATGTAAAAATAATAATAATATTCATTTCAAATAATACTTTAAATATATAAGGAAGTAGTTTATCACGTTAATTTATAATATAATTGATTAAACAGTGTCGTTATATCTTGTTTCAAAATTAGTTACCTTCATAACGAAACGTTCCATATACGATTGCTAGTCTAGACTTGTTACTGAAGAAACCCTTTAATCTGACATAGAAACCTTCATTGGCTGGAATTACGTATTCTCGTCCTCGAGGAATCTTGTGGTGTCGATAACTTGTAACAGTTTCCAGTACATTGGACTTTGATGTCAGTCCCTGATGAATTACTAAAACGGACTTTGGTCCTGATACAAAGAAAAATTGAAGTATTTATTTAGTTTTATACTTCTGGATAATTCTACCAGTAATGTATATTTCTCCCATTAATTTAAGTTGTTATCAATAACTTCTAATCAAATCATAATACCAAGATAGGTCAGAACTAAAAGTAGCTCAATAATTAATTTAACATACCTTTCTTACGAGCATTATGCAATGTCATAAAACAGAAACTCATTATTATTATCAAAACGCATTGATTTATCACTTAGTTGCCCTCGCAGTTCACAATATTTCGTTCATAATCCCAATAACATCTTCCTAAGTTTCGCCAAATAAATAGATAGATTCTCAGCTGGATTTGCCAGACGACCCATACGACCGGGCTTTGGTCGTCGAGACTTCCCATTATCTCTACAAGGATGAACAGTTCGTCATAACTCATAACAAGGGTGATATGTGCACCTCTCAGACACCTCGAGGACTCAGAAATATGTTGGCTTAGCGCAGACAGCTCGTGACCCCTAGAATCCTACTTGTCACCCACCGTTTGAGAAACACTGACTGATAGAAGTTAGACCTAAATACTAATACTGAACTACAACGCCAAATAATCATAATAATAATGATTATTATTATGTAAATAAAAATAACGTATATATATATATACACTAAACACTTTAATCACGACTGTTAATGAAACTAGAATTAAGGTTGATTAAAATAAAATTTACAAAGTCTTTATTCAAAATATTCCCTTAATGGACTGCGTCTGTGTATGAAGTTTTGGACAACGTTTCAAGCTTCCAGAGAAGATCTTCATGGGAAGATCTGCGCTAGCAACTCGAAATGTCTTCCTAAACATCATAAATAGATGCAATCGATTAACAACGCCTTTCATGTTTCCTTTCCTCTTTCTAAGCTTTCTTTCAAGCAAGAATAATCTCTATCTAATACTTGTTTTAAAATATTTTACATTCTGCAACAAAAGCGAATTACTAAAAACACAAAATTAAAAATATGTCATAGAAATTAAGAAATGATTAATAAGAATTATTATAGTATTTCAAATCATTTCAAATGAAGCAAAATTAAAGAAGAAATGATTGAATATAAAATCCTACACCAGAAACATTTAGTTAGACACATAATTAAAATTATTTAATTAAAACATTAGCTAGCTAGAAGAAAAGGTGGATAAATGTGTGGTAATATTGACTTAATAAATATTATTGTATTTAAATTAGAGGTATCGACATTTAAAAACAACAACAATGCAAAAGATAAATTTGTTCATGATTACAGTTAAACTATATTCCATTTTATTAATTATTTATGAACTTGTTTGGAAATACTAGCCTAATGACGAAAAACCCATACATAAGGATATTAATTATAATGGAAAATATTCCATTTCTTTGATTAAAACGTAAAAGAAAAATCAGATGCTAAAGTATGAAATATTTATTTTGTAGATTTCCTGTTGAGCTGTCGTTTCACTTATGTATATATATATAAATAAATGAACATACTGATTTGTTTTATCAGGTAGATATAAAATTAATGAAGACTTAGTATAATAAGACAAAACATCATTCCCAGTTTTCCCCTGAAAAAGAAAGGTCCACCTTTCGAAAGCGCTCGGGTTATAGGGTTTTTATTCATTTCTATCAAGACTTATTGAACCTACGTGTTTTTCTAACATCATGAATACAACAGTTTATGTCAGTCAGGGTCATTAAATATTAATCTGCATAATATGATTTTTAACTCTTATTCAGTGATGTATCAGCTTATATTACTGTTTTTTGAAAATACAAGTACGTACCCATGAACTCGAATTCTGCAACACGAATGAAAAGATGTGTTTCGTAAGTATCCGAGTTTCTTGGGCGTATTAACCATACGCAGTCATAAGGCTGAAGCTCAATACTGCTCGACATATTCATCATGGTTATAGCTCCGCCCTTGTCGTCAACGATCCCGCCGCAGTCTGATGGAAAAAAATGACATATTATGTGAAATAATATACTGACAATTTTATAATCACACTAGTAACTTCTTTGGGGGGAGGGATGCTTAGTTTCATAACCAATCGAGTAACACTTTATCCCTTGGTTTCGTAGCCAGTCCAGAAAATTTCAGTGAACTCTGTATACTATAATCTGGAGAGATGGCTGTCATTCACGAGCTGTTTCAGTAGAGCGCCATTTTGTAGGAGGTAAAAGTGTTGGAAGGATTCCTGTTGCGTAGTTGGGTGCTTTAACATTTCTAAATAAAAGGGGAAGTTATGTCTGTCTCTTTTCAGAGATAAATGTTAATCTTGCGTTGAATTTTAAGCATTTTAAAATTAAAAATAATCGTAATCTGTATAGATATTAGTAAATTACCGATGGCTTAATTATTGCTATAAATTAATGACTGAATGTACGATATAGGCCTAACCAGTAAGTTTAGAAACAGCAGTATTGTAGATACTGGGAAAGAACAGTGCTTTGTTAGTGTGGTAATATTCAATACAGTTGTAATTATAAATTGTCATTGGTACACGTTTTGTTGTGTTTAGAAACAACCCATCTATTTGGGAGTTATTAGAACTTAAAAGCGCTCATTTTCGACTAGGTTTTCCGTACAAGATTAAAAACATTATTGAAGAAATGGATGATTATTATACGTAGAAAAGACTCCAACCAAATTATTACGCATCTGCAGCGAACGTTACGCTGCATCAAGTTTTCAGGTATGTAGTTTATAACAAGTTGAGGCATTTCGTTATTACCTAAACTATTACCAAAACTTAATATAACATACTTTTTCAATTTATTATTGTAATAATCTTTTCATAGTGTCAGTGCTTGAAGATAAATCTTCACAGGAAAAATGACAATTATGGCAGCCCTGTATTAATTACTTTCATCAGTATCTCGTAGCGCAATAAATGAAATGAATACATAAGGATCGTAATAATAGGTCAGTACAAATAAATTAAGTAATATTGTTTATAGTTTTTATATGGTGTTAGCTAAATCGTAAAAAATCTATCTTATTAGGTGTGTCTAGATGCAGCCTCACAATACTTTCAAAATGATGCTAATCTATGAATATTTCCTTAATTTTCCACTCTCCTCCAAAGTGTGAAATCGAACAGGAAGTATGCAGTGAAGAGGAAATTTGAAGAACCTCACCCAGAATTTGGTTATTATGTTTGTTTTTAGTGAAAATTCAATGTTTAGCGTAGAACTGACCACTTCAATGTAGTTTTAATAGCTGTTGCAAATAACAAATGTTACTTGAATTTTCAAATGCTTAGATTTCAGAATAGTGTTTCATTTAGGTGTTCAAATTGTTCTAATCTTGAGGGAAAAATGTTCTCTTCAATAATTGGCTAAAAATTCCAACTAAATCTATATTTACAGATACACTTGGATGTATACCTATAGTGATGAACCATGTTACACCAGTAGCAGTGAAGGAGGTGATGCTCAACAACACCTTTTAATTTTTTCCCTTACAAAACTGTTGCTTCGAAAGAAGTTTAAACTAATGAGAAAGCTTTTGAGGAGTCAAAATATAAATACCTTTCAACATGGAAACGTTCATCAAGAAGATGAACGAGCAAGGTTTAAATAAAAATTGATATGAAGCCATTAGAAAAGTTTTTCCTGCTGTCCCAGAACTTTTGACACAGGATACTCTGAGAAACAGATAAGTGATGCAGTGTGGTGGACGTTATTGATCAGAGGAAGGAGAGCTGTCTGTGACTATTTATCTTAATTCTCCTAAAGCTTACATATTTCTGTGTCAGGTGTTTGGACTACCTCATTCTTTACGACTAGGCGGTTGTAGTACTTCTGTAAAGTGAGAACCAGGTTAATTGGGAGAAATGTTTGAAAGCTTAAAAAAGAACTAAGAATAAACCATATGTGAAAGATTGTACCTCACTAATTGTTTCCGTGGTTTTATGAATGTAAGTTGAGTGGGATATTAACTGAGAAAAACACTGGCTTTATAAATTATTGTGGTGCTGTTCCTAAAGAAGTTGAGGAGCTTACTTCAAAAGTATCCCCCCCCCCCCCAGTAGCATAGAGGTATGTCTGCAGACTTATAACGCTAAGAACCGGGTTTCGATATGCGTGGTGGGCACAGCACAAATAGCCCCTTGTGTAGCTTTGTGGGTAACACCAAACAAACAAAGCTTCAGAAGCACTTGTCTTTCTAATTATTGGTTTAACGAAGAACTGGAGGACAGCTATTGCTTGCTTCTTTGTTGGTAAAATAGATAGTAATGTTTTAAGTCAACTCCTTAGAACATCATTGAACTTTCTTGATGAAGCACTTTTCCGTATCAGGAGTGTTGCATGTGATGGAGTTTCAGGAATTATTTCCATTCTAAGAAACTTGTGTTGTAAACTTGGAAATTCTGTGAAAAATATTGATAGATAATTTCTTCATCCTCAGCTAGATGCATATCAGATGATGAAATTATGTAGAAATGCTCTATCACATTTAATAAGACCTACAAGTCAAGAGAGAATAACTTAATGGAGGTACTTGCGAAAACTTTGTGAAATCCAAGAACAAGAAAGACTCACTTATGTTAGTGGATTAGGTCTCAGGCATATACAGTGGGCTAAGCAGAAAATTAATGTCTTAGTTCTTCATTTTCTTAGGCGTGATGTTAAACCTCCTTATTTTGATAAATCTCTACTTTATCTATTTTATTCTGACATTATAAAGTGATATATTGACAGAACATGTGTATTTCATTGTTCTTATCCACGAACACTAAACTTACTATCTTTCTATTGTTATGTTTGATGATTTTACCATTAAGTACCGAATGTATTTTTTTCTTTTGATGATAACATTTAAATTTAGATCATTTACATCAATATATTTTAAGTTTCTTAATTTGAAAATTATATATTATTTAACTTGACATTGTTTTTTATTTGCAAATCACCCAATTTCTTCTCTTCATAACTTTTGTGTAAACTTTAACTTTTTTATAGCTCTATTGACATTAAAGGTTTCCTTCTGTGGTTACTTTTATTGTATGTAGGCAACCTGTACGTGACATCCAAATGTGCTTGAAATTAATTTCATGAGTGTAAGAAAGTATATATAATCTGTTAATTATATTCAGGTTTGGTGTTTCTGTATTTTACTGACAAATCCTTATATGTTCTATATTTTTTCATTTACTATTATAATACAAATAGGAATTTTAAAATAATGTCTTATAAAATTAAAATTCTTAATTTGAAATAAAGTGGTTTGTTTGTTTAAAGTTAAGAAGCTACACAATGGGCTATCTGTGCTCTTCCCACCATGAGTATTGAACCCCAGTTTCTAGCATTGTAAGTCCACAGACAGTGGACATTGAATTAAATACTGTAAATTCTACAGATATCAAAACTTCATCCCCGGATAGCACAAGTATGTTTGAGAACTTATGCTTTCGCTTTTGTTGTTGTAAAGCGCAGAGCTACATAATGTGCTCTACCCACCACAGGTATTGAAACCAGGTTTTTAGCAATGTAAGCCTGCATACTTACCACTGAGCAGCTGAAGGACAGAACTTATATTTAAAAAAAAACTTTATCTCAAGGCATTACGTCCGAGTGATGTATACACAAAAGTACACAGGTTGAATTAAAATGGTGATTTCCTATACCAATTCTGTGACCTCCTTTACATGCATCTCACCATGGCTTCAATTATCTGTTTTTATAAATAAACCCCTAATTATCGTTCACAGATTTAGCTTTGTAATTTATCAGTCATTTAAACCTAAAACTACCAGTTATTCTGTTATGTAATCCCACTTTCAAGGACTTTTCTTGCAGAAAAATGAGTTGATTTGTGATTAATACATTTCAAATCCACCCTACCCTAATCAACTGCACATGGTGGAAACTAAATATGGTGGAAAAAGCATTATGAACTCTATATATTCCTCTCTGAAGTAAAGAAGAACGCGTAAAGGAGTTCACGCAATTTCATGTTCGGTGATTATTATTGAATAATGCAATTTACTCTTACCCTTTCAGTTACTGATAACAACATGTGTCTTGACTGTTGTGTATAACGATATAATTTGAGTATCTACACTAGGATATCACGTGCTTGAAAAAACTAATTTTATTACAAGTTATAAGTGGGCATACCCAGAATATCTCTTGACACCCTGTGTTTAGGGTGTGATCAAATAAAATTATATACTTCCTGGATTGATTTTAGACTCTAATATTTTTATTTACTCAAAAATGTTTAAATACTGTCTTGAAAATAAACAATCGTAAAGGAGAACATATGATTACGGCGATATGTTATTTTGGATATTTTTATGTGTGAAAAAGTAAGGGGACAATCAGCTAATAAACATAACTGTTTACTAATTAATCAAAATAAAGGCTTGAGTCTTACTCCCAATTTTTATGTTTGTGTTATTGCTTTGAAATTAATTCTTTCTGCTGGCAACATGCTACTTTTAACACCCCACCATTGTTTATTTCCTTGGTTTGCTTGGAAAAACTTGACACAAACTCAACATATTATATATGTTGGAAAGTTCTGTCCGTCGTCTATCATTTACAAATTATTATATGTTTGTGTAAGGTATGTACTTAGAGGAATTTGCCCCAGAACACTGGCGACATTAAATTGGACTTAAGAAAGCCTGGCCTTTACGTGTCATTATACGTATAGTGACGATACCTGCGGCAAGATGGCGGCAGCATAGGCACAGACCTATAATCAACAAATAGTAGTGGTGTGCAAACTGTAGGTCGAGTCCCCAAGAGGGGAATCACAAAGTCAGTACGGGATGGGGGCGGGCGCAACTATGACTATAAGAGCATATCTGAAAGTACAAATTTTAAAATAAAGAAGATTTAAAAATGACCATACAAATATTAGTGCTATTAAATAATACAGTAACAACAATTAACATGGTGAAATGATATGTACAGTATATTTATTTGTCAAACTAAGCACTGGAGCAACATTTTTACGATATTATCAGATAACTCTATCTTGAACTAAAAAAACATTCTGATAAATATTTTATAAAATTGTAGCCTCCATAAAAATCACATTTTATTTCTATAAGCATGGATAGCAACTTATGAATCACATTTGATTTCTATAAGCGTGGACGGCAACTTTTGAATCACATTTGATTTCTATAAGCGTGGATAGCAACTTATGAATCACATTTGATTTCTATAAGCGTGGATAGCAACTTATGAATCACATTTGATTTCTATAAACGTGGATAGCAACTTATGTTATTCAATGAGTTTTTCACGCCAGTAGCATTTAGAAACGAATAATAGTTTCATGAAATTTATTAATGACCAACTTAAAAAAACATATTGTTCATTGTGTTGTCGATTTATCTAAAACCCTGAAAATAAAAGAGTAACGTTTTACGTCTTTTTTTTTTACATGAATACCAATTTTACTTAATAGTATATCTCAAGAGAGCTGTTAGCAACGTTACGTTGACCAAATGACTGGCACAAAAGGTAATATTAGAAACACATAAAAAACAAAACAAAGGGTAAAATAAAAAATGTGGTAACCGATATACAATATACTTTAAATATGAGACTAGCATTCAGTAAAGTTCATTATTTAGGCTTCTTCATAACAGTAGGATTAACTTACTGACTTTCAAATATTTCAGTAAAGTCAGCTAATCAGATTAAAACCAATTCACATCAGCAGCTCGAGAGAAGCCATACATTTGCTGCTACAAATATGGATTGAATAAACTAGCATAGTTACGTAGTTTTATGAGGAACACAGTCAGTTTTAAATGTCAAAAGTAACAAGATAATAGAAGATACCAAGACAAGAGTAACGAGATTATGTAAGATTTAAGATGGTGCTACTTACCCGTTGATGGTTGGGTCAGCCAGTCTTTGTGAGGTGCTGTAAAGATGTGATAAAGATATTGTATTATTCATATTCTAGCAGATGTTAAACAAGACAGTACCTCGGCGAATAAAACTGAAGAAACGGAGATAAAAACTGAATAGACAGAAACAAACGAAACTACAGCAGTGTTATAAACACACTGAGCCATTAGTAAAGATTAGAAAGAAAATTAAGAAGGGGAGAAAATAGAAAACTAAAACATAGGTTGGGGATTAAGAATTAGAAAAAGAAAGATAAAGTAATGAGAAGGTCAATAAAGTGTGATAAAATAGATGAAAATAAAAAATAGAAAGACAAAGAACTACAACACGAAACAAAATATAAACAAATAAAGAAAACAGTCATGTTAAATTATAAACCGATCCTGTAAATTTAAATAATGGATATGAAGTTTTGAAACAGCTATCTGTGGGATAATAAATTTATTTCTGTAAAACTGTTATAAACGAAATGTTGTACAGAGATAAATCTATTATCCCACTGATAGCTGTTTCAAAGCCTCATATTGTTCGTAAATAAAGTGGGAACCTCCTAAAAAGCAAATAAACAATAATACATATTATTATGTGTAAACAGTGATAGCTGAAGGTATTTTTCAGTGTCTTATTTATTTCTTAGTCAATCTGCTACTTGCACTGCTACTCTTCTCTAACTTTGTTTTTGTTTTATCAGGAAAGAAATGGTATCATTCACGGAAAGATCAATATTCAGGACCTTTTACCAGTACAAGCAGACTAAAAATATCATCGAAGAATGAAAAAAAGCAACAGTAATTCAAAATAATATAAGTGAAAAAAAAATGATAAGTTCAATAAAGTATTCTTATGAAACAACTGAATATTTATATCCTTAAACGTTGCTGTTTAACTTAATGTGAATAATGAGAAATTCTATTAACATCTGTCAAACATTTCGCCTAAAGACAAAAGCTAAAACAATCAATTGATTAGTCATCAAAGATGTCAGTTTAGCGCTAAAGAAAGACGTAGATATAATTTTTCATTTTAACACTCCTACACACTTTATAACATAGGTACGATGATATTACGGTTTGTGTCACAACTTTATGTATAATTATTCCTGAATGTTTGTGTGCTTACAGCTGATAGTTATTGCCGGATGTTTGTATACTTACGGCTGATAAAAGTGTATTTAGCACGAAATCCACGACTGGGATGTCCATCACTGGCTTGAAACTTTAACGTTAAGATAGGTCCTGAAGAAATGATGATTGGCGGTCTGAAAACGTTACCCCTGTACACATTGATCCGAGTGCTGTCGCTGTCATATACCTATGAGAAATAAAAGTTAGCAGTTTATGTTTTGTTGTTGTGTTTTTCAATTAATATATATGCTGAAAAACTTTTATTTTATAATATCACCTCTTGTAGAATTACTCGCTGACTAAACAAGGGTGTCAGGTATGTGAAATACCCTTTACTAGTTTACAGGTCTTCTAGCTCGAGTCTTCTTTCTCTCTGACTAAACAAGGGTGTCAGGTATGTGAAATACCCTTTACTGGTTTACAGGTCTTCTAGCTCGAGTCTTCTTTCTCTCTGACTAAACAAGGGTGTCAGGTATGTGAAATACCCTTTACTGGTTTACAGGTCTTCTAGCTCGAGTCTTGTTTCTCTCTGACTAAACAAGGGTGTCAGGTATGTGAAATACCCTTTACTGGTTTACAGGTCTTTCAGCTCGAGTCTTCTTTCTCTTTTAACGATAGTTATAATGGTAATTTTAAAAGGTCACAGAGTTCAGATTGTTGATAAAGATGAAACCCCTTTAATTAGAATTTAACTTCCCAGTGAATGATACAACTTAAGTTTCAAATAACTCCATATTGTTTAAATTGTCTTTCAAAGTCCAAAAGATCCTGCAGAATATCTAACTATACGCGTTCAAGCTGTGAATTAGACGTTACATATTTTATTTCCAACCTTTTGTTTGTGTGACTTCTTTTGGGACTGCTAAACTGTAAAACAGTGGTAACTCTAGCTTCGTATTCAGAAAAAAAAATATTATCCATATCAAACAAGAAAAACATATTTCAATATTAACTGAACTTTTTGTTTGTCGTTAAGAACAAAGCTGCACGGTGTTCCACTTCAAACATCGAAACCTGAATTTTAGCGTTATAACCCTTCAAGCTTACCACTGAGCTAAATAGGGAAACACTAACTGAAACTTGAATTTTAGCGTTATAACCCTTCAAGTTTACCACTGAGCTATATAGGGAAACACTGACTGAAACTTGAATTTTAGCGTTATAACCCTTCAAGCTTACCACTGAGCTACATAGGGAAACACTGACTGAAACTTGAACTTTAGCGTTATAACCCTTCAAGCTTACCACTGAGCTACATAGGGAAACACTAACTGAAACTTGAACTTTAGCGTTATAACCCTTCAAGCTTACCACTGAGCTACATAGGGAAACACTA